TGTGTACAGGACAAACCTAGACAAGTCATTTACACTGGATATTGGCTAAATTCCAAATGAGCTATCATAAAAGAAATCTAATCACTCTAGCTACGAGTAGTTCATCTCAAGTCAAATTATGACAGAACAGTGATAAATTGTTATTTTAAGAATCTCAGACAATCACAATAATTGATCTTTATGAACCTCGGTAACGTGAAAGTGGTTCGCTTTGCAGCAAGTTAGGTCTCTCTAATGTGATTTTGAGGGACGATTTCGCCTTCGGGTTTATGATTGATGTTAGCATGGTCAACCTGATATCAATCTCTATTTGTTAGATATCTCAATCATTGAGTATGATGTATTTTATTATTTATATTGTTCAAATGTCTGTATATAGTTATTTATCTTTTTTGGGTACTTGATGGCGCAGTGGTTAACGCTTTCGGTCTATGATATAATATTAGAGATGTGGGTGAGGACGATGTAAAGTCGCGTTGTTTCATCGATAGCAAAAATTTGATTAGTCAATATCACGACAAATACATGGTACATTTTTGACAAATGGTTATTTTTTCTATAGGATTTAACTATAGTGACGACCTCCGTGGCTGAGTGGATTGCACGCCGGGTTTCATGGTGTCGCCGTCTCGAGAGGTCCCGGGTTCGAATCCCGGTGGGGACAGATGTTTGTGAGATGAATACGAGCATTTGTACTCCAGTCATGGATGTTTAAATATGTATTTCTATATAAATATACTTATATATGTACTAGTGATGTAACGAATATTCGCATTCGCGAATATTCGCATATTTTTGAATATTCACATTCGCATGCGCAAAATCTCTGCGAATGTTTTACGAATATGAATATTAGAAAAAACAATTTGAAGAAGTTGTAGTTCTGCCTTTCCTTGAATATTCATTGTTACACAGTTTGCATTTAGCTCGTTCAGCATCGCAAAGTGTAAAATAAGTCCATGTTTCACTAGAATTCGATTTACTCATGTTAATAAATCACTATTATCACTCACAATCACTAACCTCAAAATTCACTTGTTTTGTTTACGGAAAGACCGGTGCGAGCGGAATGACACTTCAGTCGGATGAGTTCATATCAACTCGGCAATTCGAACGAGACTGCCACCATGCCATAGACAATTGGCGCCAATTTAAAAAAAAACTAAATATTCGCATTCGCATTCGCGAATGTCGGTACCAGACATTCGCATTCGCGAATGTTCAAAAAATGACATTCGTTACATCACTAATATGTACAGTATATGTATTCTATCCGTTACCCTAGCATCCCATAGCAACAAGCCTTACTGTGCTTACTTTGGGGCTAGGCTAATTGGTGTGAGTGTTGAATATATTTATTTATTTATTATATTTAGTGAAATTTAACTAGCGAAGAAACAACGTGGCGTAAAAGTATTACAACTTTTTGTTCTCACCAATCCATGTTATAGTTTTGCAAAAAGCTGTGGACATTATACTTATGTATAAAATGTTAAAATTATATTAATTTTGTTACTATTTTTGTACCCGCATACTAACAGACAATAAAACCAAATCGCTATTCTTTCTGGTCCCTAACGCACCCCTACGATTCTTTGTAATTGACATATTTTTTTCACATTTTTAAATAATGCATGTATGTACCTTTAGTAAGTATAATTGATTTTGATTTAGATTTGTTATTTAAAAAAATTGTGTGTGTCAGCTCCGACGCACGACCGGAGTTTACACTCTAAAAACGATTGTCTTTGAACAGACACAAAACAAAATCAAGTCCGAAGAAGTCGGTTACAAGTAGAGATACCTCAGAAATCGTCCCATGATTTCGACTATCATAGGTTCCATGTCACATATTTTATCATCTAACATCAGCGATATTCATCATATATTTTATTATGTATTTCTGGAAACACACAATTTCAAAAATATCACACACTAGTCATCATTTTGTAAATATGTATTATAATTCCATCTGTACTGAAAATCACTATTCCAGAGTGCTGGTCACTTACCGGCATTTCTCTATATTCTGTTATTTATTTGTTTTCATTAATTTTGCTCCGATTTTATCTATTTCTAGTTTATTTATTTTATTGACATTTGTGACAACTTAATGTTTTTTATCCGTTGCCATGGCTAAAAGTGAAAGATGAGGTTACGCACAAAAACGTAACGAGGTCATTAATGTCATTCATCGATAGATTTTACTCCTCACATTTTTCTCATACCGGGCTATATATGCAAATCGATTCTTAAGGAGTAAACTCCCATAAAAACCAAGCAATTCGAGAACTGAATAAATAGAATTTTTACATTATAATTGTCGATTTTATCTCAATATTATGTACTTAAAATTTGTAGTAATTAGTATTGATGTTTTTTTATTATACTCTTTATTGCATCATATAGTTCAAAACAAAAAGTCAAATACATAGTAAGCAAAGGTGGGCTTATCTCTAAAAGAGATCTCTTCCTGCCAACCTAGGTGGTGTCGGAGATTCCAAAATTTTAGCGGGAAACAGAAAGTGCAATAAAAATTAAACTAAAAATTTATTTTTTATTGCACTTTACATAATTAATTAAAAAATATTCTTTATTAAGTGTCTATTTATGTTTTTTTTCTATAAGAGAGGAAGTTTAGAAGAAGAACGTTAGACTTTTTTGACAGTTTTGAAACGTTAGGCCCGTTTTCCACCGCCAAAGAGGAATGAACTAGCGAGATTAACTGAAAATTAGAAATGAAATAGTTTGAAATTGTTCACCGACAGGAGTAAGTGACCGATTATGAACGAGGGTGTAGTTTGAGGCCTGAAGCGCAGCCAAGGGTCTTAAGAGACCCCATTTGGGAATAGCACTTTCTTTCGAGGTATAGCGCATTAAACTATACCTGCGAGGAAATGAAAGACAAATTCTTTAATTGAAATTTATATTAAAGTTACTTAACTTTTGCATGGAAGCTCTATATTGGTTTCTCGATTCCATGGAAGTGCTCAGGCAGTTTCTTTTAATTCTGGCGGTGTCAATAAATTTTCATTATCAGTAATATACGCCGTTTTCAGTTGTAAGAAAACAAATTAAAAACTCAGTTACAATGAAATAATCAGAGCGCATTTTACTTTTTGTTCTTTTTTCAAAATTAATGTTCAGAAAGCAAATAGCATAATGTTAAAAAAATAGATCGCTCGCAAAGTCTGCAAAATCATACAGATCAAGTGATCTGTATGATTTTTCGGAACATAAATAAAAAAAAGGAAATACAAAAAAACAGCACGTTAACAATGAATTTCTATAAACTTTTTCTGCCCGCTCAGCGCGTTAGAAATGGATATCCATACACTTTTTCAGACTGCTTGATAGTAAAACAGTAATGAGGTCCTTTCTGCTTCATTTTTAAAACAAGAATAAAGCACTTTCTGAGCAGGTGTAGTATAAAATGAATTTTGATTTCCACAGTGTGCGAGCTCAGTTGAAGTTTTCGACGTGTTAGGAACAGTCGTGTCGCAATATCAAGTGATGCGGACTATTTTGATCTTGTTCATGGGGGGTGCGATCCTAGGTGCGCTGGGTGGCTATCGAGCGAGTAATTTCAAACTAGTTGGCAGGACTGCGACTCAGCGGACACAGTTTTACTCTCGTTTTTTTCACTTCCCTCTTTGTCGGTGGAAACACGACTATATAAAATTTGATTGTAAGTTAGAGTTTGTTAACTTACAATAAAATTTTATATAGTCGTGTTTCCATTCCATTAATGAGTTCGCTCTGTTCTCTAGAAATGAGCGAGCACATTTTTATTCTTTTTGCCCTCTTTGTCATTTTCGATCGACTCTTTGTTGATGGAAACAGATGTATGAATGTTTGTAATGCGAGGCAAGCGGAGTCATTAATGGGCTCGCCCCGCTTGTGATGGAAAACCCCCTTTACTGGGTATGACCGACTTTTCATTGTTCCGTGGAATTTTATTTACTGCTAGCGGTCGCCCGCGACTTCGTCTGCATTAACTTTCGTTCTACAAGAACCTATTTTTTTTTATTAAAAGTATCCTATGTCTTAAACCGTCTCTTATTTTTATAATGCCATCACGAGACTTTTTGGCCGACATGCACTTAAAAAGTGGGTCAAATTGAAATGCCGTGGATTCCTACTGATGTTCGCTTTCGATACATTGGAGACAAATGGTATGGCTATAGGGCAGACTTAATGCCATAGAATTTTATAAAATGCACATACATAAAATAGTCATATAACCATACATAAAATTTGTATTTAAGTACAGTGGATCCCCGGTAGTCCGACAAACATTTTGCAGGGCAGTGTCGAACTATCGAATTTGTCGGATTATAGAGTACTGCTTAAGACCCCCTATAGTCCGATTTTTTTACAAAAGAGTACCTTGTAATCCGACAAATTACAGATCCAACGATAAGATTACAAATCATACTTTGTTATGTACCTATGTCAAATTTAGTAAATTAAACAACACAATAGAAAGATTACGTTTTATTATAAAAGTAACGTCATTCATGCTATAGTATTTACAAAAAAATATAAAAAACAATACCCTACGCGTCGAGCACAGTAGTGATGGTACAAGTTGTATAACTTGTTCAATCGTGAATTAGCGAATACTTGTATGTAATAGACGATGTCGGATTATAGGGGGTGCCGCATTAGCCAGGGGCCGGATTACCGGGGCTCCACTGTATTATTATTTTTATTGTTGTTATTATCTTAATCTTCACTTCATTGAATTTTTAGCAACTTTGTGTCTCCAACACTCATTACTAGTTGACTGGTAGAGAATGCCTATGGCATTAAGTCTGCAATTTGTTTATGTTTGGTAATAAAGTCTAAATAAATAAACCAGGCAATAAACTATACTTATGTGTGCCAAATTTCATCAAGAGCCGTTTTTGTGTGATTGAGTAAGAAACATACAAACTTTCACACTTATAATATTAGTAGGAAGGATTGTTTTCAATTGTTTGTTTTTTCGTTTTTAGATATTGCAAAGTAAGATTTTGAAGCAAATGCGGTTAGACCGGGAGCATACGCAGATTCAATACCAAGACAACCGACCGGAAAATATTGACGACGAACATGACTTATACGACTTAGATGATGATGATGATGAAGAAGATGATTATTTCTACTACGAAGACTCCACGATGAAGAGTTCGAACCGCCCTGATGATACAATAAGTTAAAATGTATGTCATAATGTTTTTTCTTGTTCCTGTATTACATGTTAATAAATTATTGAATTACTTTCCTGAGTATTCTTTACAAATAAAGAAGTAAATATAAATATATTTGCTGGACAACAACTGCTTATTAGAGTTAGGATTGTTTTTTTATTCTTAGACAAAACTTATCTGTCGGGTTAATAAGGTAAATTATTACTCAATTATAGAAATTTCATATTAATATCAAAATTGACATGAAAGACAGATCATTTACAATGTGTAAAGCGCATAAGTTTTATCTAGGGGTTGAAAAATTAGCCCTTTATTGAACAGAGGTTGTACTAAAATATATATATATATTTAGCCAGGTCTCGCTAAAATTACATTATCATACAAAACCCTACGAGGATTCAACCGAATACCGTTTGTATTCGGTTCAAATCCTTGCTGTCGTTTAATATTAGGTCATACGTCATGCTCCTTCCTATTTGTATATCTCATGCGGAAACAGCGCACGGAAGACTATATTGTGTGCCAGCTTATTAATTTTACTGGGTAGATAGTAAAAACCTATGGCAGTAGCAACCAGACTTCTTCTTACTGGAAAATTGTTAAGAATGGGATGTCAACTAGTTTCAACGCTTTCTGGAAAACCAATCTGTCTAGTAATTGGCCTTATTTGTATGGATCTATTTTATCTGATACGCTTAGTTGGTTTATTAATCACAAACAGAAAGTTGTGTTTTCAAGCTTTACATTCTGAATCGAAGTAATTTATTATTCTGTTTTTACTTAACGAAGGTCATATTGATAGTAAACAACCTCATTTTTATCACATAAACATTGTTATCTACACTACAACAAAGTAATGCGTCAGTCCGTTTTTTCCATGTTTGTTTTCTTTATTAAAATTTAGATTACTTAGTATGAAATTAAATATGTTAAATTCTCATTTGTTTAGCGTTTAGTAATATCCTCAGCTTACTATGGAAAGTACGCTTACTAAGGAAATTACTAACGTTAAACAGACGAGTATATACATTCCAGACTGAAAACATGATGTAAAGTTATACCGGGCGTCATATCGATCTCTATGCCAAGTCACGTTCAGGGTAAATACAGTTTCGGGAGGCGGTATCGCTTTCGGTAGCTAAATAGGTATAGTATGTATACAAAAGCTCGGAGCGAAGTGGACTCGGATATAAGTAGTTGGCGTAGCTAAAACGTAGGTTCTTATATCGAGATGTGAGTAATAAAGTTAATCCAGGTCCCGTGTAGTGTAATATTCGGCGGGGTGAGAGGCAGGCGCGGTGAGGGAAGCAAACCGGCCGGCGCGCGGCGGCGTCGGCCACCTGTTCGCCGCGCGGTGGCGCGCGTGAGCCCCGGCCCGGGCCCCGCGCCCCACGCCCCGGCGAGCCCCGCACCCTCGGCGCTCGCCCTCGCCGCCCGGCGCCCGTGCCCCGTGCGCGCGCTGCTCCCTTCCCTCGACTCATTCGTACCGCGACGCGTCCACTCGTCGGCCGGCTTCCGTCAAGTTAACCGCAAACCGGGCTCATTCGCACCGCGTCCGTTGGCCGCACCGCTTCGATCGCACCGACCACCTATCCAGACATGACGGAGAGCACGGACACTCCCGCGGCCGCCGCGCCCGAGAAGACCACCACCCCTACCGAGAATGGCACAACCGAAACACCCCCGGAGGAGACCCCCGAAAAGGCTACCGAAGAAAAGGAGAAGGAATCACCGCCGCCCAAAGAGATGCGCGCGGTCGTGCTCACCGGCTTCGGTGGACTCAAGACCGTGAAGATCCTGAAGAAACCAGAACCTACGGCCGGGGAAGGCGAGGTCCTCATTCGCGTAAAAGCTTGGTGAGTTTATTTGTGTTTAACTACCCTCTGGTTTCTTTTTTATATTTACTTAATTGTGCATTTTATTATTGAGTATGTATTTCGTTAAAATATTTACCTATTTACTGCGGTAAAATCAGCACGTTCGGATTCAAACTTGAAACATTTTGAAATAACCAAGTAAAATGTTTATATTATAATTGACCGACGGAAGGTTTTGTCTTTTCTGTGTGAGAAAGATCACTACTTTGTTCTAATTTTATGGTTGAGAAGATATAGGGTGCACCCGGTTACCCAGTGTCGGTAGGGCAAATCCCGTTTGCCTCACCGAGTCTCGCCCGGCTCATTAACATTTGCCGCCCGCCACCAAGATGCACGGCTAATGCACTCAGTCGATTGAAAATCTGCACGCACACTTGCGTCCACCTCCGGCAATGCGACACGCCCAGTGGCGGATTTACACATCGTCGATTGCCAAAAAGAATAGTAAGGATGTACTTTGTTTCATATTTTTACTCTGCTTTACGTTGATGCATCGGTATGTTTACATTCTCGTTCGATTTCGCTAGATAATTACGTATCGATTCGATCGAATATGGAAATTCGTTTTTTTTATCGATGGATGTTCGAGGAGTTGCGCTCACGCATGCGCGCAAGCACCGAAGCGCGGAGTTGCGCTACCGCCACACTGACGGCTATAACAAATTGTAACGTCAATTTGTTATAGCCGTCATACGAAACCGTAGCCTGGTGGTTTCGTGCGAAAGGGAGTTAGCGCCGACAGACATTGTCCTTTGTTCGTTTTTATCGCTTCACTGCTTCAGATAATGCAGATGAACAAACGACTCGAATCAACACGATACTTACGATGACAACATGAGTTATCTGCCACTTTTCTTGTTAACGTTAACTCCTGTTCTGTTGAGAAGCATAACAAAACAACTGTGAAAGATACGTTTCGTTAACCACACGTCTGCAGGGACGGAGTAATTTGATATAATATTATCTTGACTGTTGACTTTATTGATCTCATTCTATGTATTTCATTTTTCATATCTTTGTTCTTGTGAGTTTTCTTGTTATATGAGGTTCTTTATAGAATCAAATGTTGTAAAAAGAGACTTATACATTCGAGTTAGATTCAGTCATGTCAAATCTTAAGTTTTTGACGATTGTATTAAAGGGGTGTTTACAATTTGGATTATATTATTTGATACGACAGTTTCCCAGATTCTTAACCTCCGCTTCCAATTTTGGATTCTGCTATAAAGATTTGGGTAGATTGTGTGTAATGAAGGTGTGTTGGATAGTCTAGGGCGGTGGGTGGCGTAGCGGAGGTGCTTCGTGAGGTGCGCAGGGCACATCCCCACTCGAGCTAAATATAGCTCGCTTATCGGCGATTTACTATGTAAATGACCGAGACATACTCGATGCCAGCTGCCGCGAAAATATGAACTGACTGGTCCCGACCGGTAACACCAACGAGTTCTCTAGTCTTGATCTGCAAAAACGTGTGAGTTCCGCCCACACAACATCCAGTACCCGTACTCACTCAAGCAGCCGGCAAATCTCAAGTTCACGGAGCACCATTATCTAGTCCTTTTTTTTATCTCAGGCACAATTATATTTTTTAATGTTGCACTGATACGTCTAAGCGTTCATCAAAACTATTCATCTCAAGTACAAGGACAGGAAATCCGAACTCACTGAACTTGTTCTAAAATTCTAACCGAAAACTTAGAGAAACATTAACTTATATTTTGAGTCTGTTGACCTACAATTAAATACTCGTTACGTTAGTATTAGTCTGGTTCTAATGTGGAATGCAGTTACTTTGAAAGACTTACTATTTGTGTTTTTATCGATATTCATTTAAATGTAACACCGTTAATTGGATATATTTGTTACAAACTTAATTATGATAATGTTAGCATTTTATAAACAAAACATTATCATTATCCGTAGTGATTGACCGACCGACAGCAAAAAAAGCTATATTTTCATTATTTTGTAACAGACAAGAGTTATTTCTAATAGTGCTGTTAATTAAATACTATAGACATATAATAATTAAGCGCAGGAGTAATTTAGTGGATGGCGCAGATGTTCGTGTTTAGTTTGGGCGGTTAATGTTTTGTAAGTCTTTAAGTCGGAATCCGACCACAGACAACGAATAACACACAATTATTTTCAATTAGGTCAAGTCAGTGCCGGCAAGAGACGCCTTCTAAGAACAATCGACGTACTCACGCCTGCTATGAGTGCCTTTCTTTTTTCTGACAGTACTTAATTATATGTATGTGGAGATGAGCGAAGGATTGGAAATGTGATAGTTTTATTTTTCTCTCTCTTGCTTACATGCGTTATTAGGGCTCCTATATGGGAAAAAATATGAACACCAAATACTTAAAAGGACTTTGTTTAAATCCTACGTATTCTATCCAGTGTAATTGACAAAAGAGCGTGTTAATTGTTAACATCCTTTACTTGGCTGCCATTTCAATTTAAATCCTAAAAATAACGTTTGCCTGTCGAATACGGAATAAAACTCTATGGTATAAAGTGCAGCATTGTGCATTTTAATGGACTTCGAAGCCACATAAGATGGGTGAGATGAATTTGTTTATTACCCTCTTCCTTATTGAGAGCGTCTGCGTGAGATAGCTCTCTTCCTATGAGTCACTAGAAAGTTATGTTCTTGAGTTAACTCGATCCGAATAACTGGCTGGCTAACCCGACTGCAATATCTGCCTTGAGTGGGTGAACTTGACTGCAGTATTATTTGCTCTTATCGTAATTCGAATACAGTGATATTTCATTTGTTAGTTAGTATTTAACAAAAAACATGCATCTGTAATAATAAGTATTGTCGTCTCATTGTGCAGGAACCCCTATTTCGTATTGCCGTACAAAGCATCAATAAATTAGTCATTCACGACTCTTTATGAACCTATTAATCTTTAAATAGGGATTGAATGCATCAGAATTTGTTTCTCACGTCACAATCGTATCGATAATATAACGTTACTAGCTGACCCGTACCGTATTTATAATGTCGATGCATGTGGTATTTAAATTTTTAATAAAATTAGGGATTAAACAACCTAAGTAAAACAAATACAAAAGTTCCATTAAAATTGCGGAAATGCAAATTCAAAAAGTATACATCAGTGGCAATAATAAAGTATGTATCAGTGAAATTTAAAATGGGATCAATTGTTTATCATGTCTTTGCCCAATATTCTCTAAATTCCCTTAATCGCTCAGTACCTTAAAACTTCTTGGGAATTTTTCTATATTTTTGGAAACTAAATCTAAATGCAGTAAAATGTAGGTCGTGTTGAAACCAAAACTGTGATATTAATACTTAAAATGTTTGCAGTTATATCCATCGTCTCCTTGCCAAAATATTAGCAAGCATTGCAGGACACGTTGCATGATTAGAGTATTTACTTTAAATTACAATATCTCTAGATTTGCTATTTTTCCACATATTTCGCTTTTGATTTCTATTTCAAAATAAATATCTATTGGAGTTACTGATTTGCAATACAAATAAGCTTTGTACATGCTTGTTTGGGTATGCTGTGGAAGATGGTGGAATACTAAACCTAATTTAATTGAAAATTAATTTTCTGCATATTTTTTTGCTGTGATTTTTCCGATATCATAAAATTATCTGCTATTAGGGGCGGAGACGAATCCAAAAAATCAGAGATCGTTAAAATAGCTCCAGCCGCTCTTGAGTTAAAATAAGTGTTCTAACTAACACGATTTTGTTTTATATATAAGAGTATGAACTAAGTTTATGAACTTAAATAAAAGTTCGGCAACTGCATCATTTGTATGACCCGAGGGATGCAATCATCCATCCACATCAATCATCTAACCTAGGAGGCAGCTCGTACGCCTCGCATGTCTCGGAAAAAACCCTCCTCATTTTGTGTTTCCATGACTTCCTTACAAGGAATAAAAACTTACAAGTACTTATTGTTTTGCTACAGTCTTTTATCTTTACTATTGTTGCAAAATCTAGAACGTTGGGATGCGTCACTGAATTTTCTCTGCTGACACATTATTTTCAGTCGAGCGGGCTAATCATTGATGAGTAAGCCTAAGCAGGGCTATCGATTCTGATTCATCTCAAACAAACAATAGGATTTATACATTATTTTCAACATCCGACTTCCATTCGGGAGCCCCTGTAATTACAGCGAGTTATTTGGTAGATAACATTGACCTTTATCGGGGTTATTGAGTCACAGCTGCTTTATTTTGACAATTCCCCACTACTTCATTTAGTATTTGGATGAATAGCTGTTATATAATAATTTGTTTTTTATTTAGCTTTTATCGGTTAAGAATTTTGTTAATAATTTTTAGGGTTCTGTACCCAAAGGATAGAAATGGTACCCTATTGCTGTCACACTGTCCTCTGTTTTTGCGTATGTCACGGATCTCTAGACCGTAAACGGAATGAGTTACTGAACTGAAATATTGGTCCGTATTAATTTTAGAATGCTTGCCCAAAGCTATTTTTTTAGTTAAAAATTAAATTATTTTTCATGGGGATGCAAGAAATACATGAAAAGGAGTCGAAAAAAAAAATGTTTTTTACCTCAGCATGTGACACATCATTGTCTAGAGCTCATTGAGTACGATGAAATGGGGGGTCGCCTATGGGGGTAGTTGGCATTTTTAGACCATATTTGTTACAGGGTCTATCTCATAATTAAAACTAGTTAGGAATATGAAATTTTAGTATATGATGTCCCACATGCTGTATTTAAACAACAAATACTGAAAACGCGGATTCATAAAAAACTGTAAGTTGTGACGAAACCAATCAAATTATTTTTCATTTCGCTGTTAGTTGTACGGAATCTTTCGTGCGCAAGTACGACCTGCACTTGGTCGATTTTCAGTGCTTCAAAATCAATGAATTATTATTTTCAGTTTCATCATGATATTTTGAGCCCGTATATCTGGATTGTATCGAAAATAGCTTTTGAAATATGAAC